GCCAGTGAAGCAACGTCCTCTACAACTAGACTGAAGAACAAAAGGACAGCAACTTGTCTGTTCCCCTTCCCCCAATTCCCCAGCACTGTTCCCATTCCCCCAATCCCCCAATAAAAAAAAATCTTTAAAAAAAATACAATGATCAATAATATTTAACATTTACATTCAAAAATGTATTGGTTAATATTTGAAAATAAATAATATTGCTAAGAAGTTAAGTAAGACTTTAGGCAAGTGCTACAAATGTGGAACGTTTGGAGGTTACCACTTTCTATGACTTTCCATGAGACATCCTGAAAACGAATACTAGCATCTAATTCTTTTATATTTCATGCAAGCATCTAGAATACATAATTAAGAAGTTTTATTTCAAGAAGAGCTACAATTTCCAATTTACTTTGAAATGATAGGTTAAGTCTTTTCCTACTAAGTAAAAATTCCTAATTTTCCATGTAAGAATTAAATAAAATCTTCTTGTGAACAAAAAATATATACATCGCCCTTAATGATGCATGTATGATGAAACAATATAAAAGCAGAAAATAGATAAATATTGGCTAAAAATTACTCTGAATTTATATCCTGCAGTAAAGGCTGGGATGAAGCAACACCTGAGCAAAAGTGAGAGTTCATGGACACAGGTGTTGGTAATCCCATACGTGATACTAAATTTCCTCATCTTTCTAGTAGACTTTCAACCCCTAATTAATGTTTCTTGCCAGTTTCCTTTTTGTTCAAAACAGTTAATTGTTGGCCAGGGACCTGTGACTCTCTCATGTCTGTCAACAAAACAGCTAGAAAAATCAATTCTTCTGTTCAGACAAATCTCAGCACTGAAAACATATCCTTCAAGCCTCAGAGAGAGAGCTTAGTGACAAACTATTTATGTCCAAAGCATGAATTTATCACAGAATAAACAATATGTTGAATACGTGCACTAAAAACAAACCTCTCAAAAAAAACTAAAACCAACTCCTACCAAAGTAAGAGACAAATACCCACAAACCAAAAAAAATAAAATAAAATTGGGTATTGATGTTACTCCCATTGGCCATTTAACAAGTGATGATAACAAAATAAAAATTTGAGCTTCAAAAGAAATTGTCCTATTTTCCAAACCTAACTAACTTCCCCAAAATAATTTTTTTAATGAGAAGAATAATGAAAACTATTTGCTAAACCTCAACCACACGGAAGAAAAAACAGCAACTTGGAAAAGCGAAACAGAAAGCTCCAAACAGTCCAGAACTAGCTCTCCTCTTGGTCTCACCAACCCTCAAAAGATCCCCACGGACTTACCTCTGCCTGGACCTAACCCTCGTCCCAAAAGGGAGATTTCCCAGCAGCGCAGGAAGATCAAACAGGTACCCATTCCGTGACCATATCCATGAGAAAAGCCAGGCTATTCTGAAAGCTCTTGTAATTACATCGAAAACACGCTGGGTCTCTAGGGGACATTCTTGAAAACCTGAGATCAACTCCCAGAAAAACACTGTTGACCACTTAACCACTACCGGAAGACTGCTGAATGGCAGACCAGAATCGGCACCTCATCAGAAAAAGAGGAAGGCATTGTTAGGGAAGCAGTTTCACTACCAGTGAGGAACTGGGGGGAGAAAAAACTCCCTGGGAAAAATACCAAAAGCCCAGAAGAGTCTATAGTTGGCTGCTGCCGCTGCCAGTGCAGAGCTGGTTAATCTTGGAAAAACAAAAGGAAGCTCCCTAGAGGATGGTTTTCGGGAGGATGGCTTCCTCAGTGGGGACCAAGAGTTCAGAAGGATGGAAGCGGACAACGAAAGGGGTCACCAGCTACCAGCTTCTGCTTACCAAACTTTTATCAGTCCTTGGCTGAGGGAGATAAGCAAATATCTTTGGCGTTCCCACCTGTTTTCCTCAGAGATGAAGGAATTAGCAATGGTTTGTTTGTGTGGTTTTTTTAAATCATTACAAGGAGAGTTCAATTCACTTATCGTCAATGAAAGCTAAGCGCATTCAAGCAACATTTAATACACAGAGCAATGACACTTCTTTCCCAACATCCTTGATTTCAGCTCAGAGGAAGCAAGCAATTAACCCCGTGGATCCCAGAGAACAAATTGCCTGCACAAAACGGATTTAACTTTTTAGTTCAGAATCACTTTGAGGGGGTTCTGGTTAAGATGGGATTAGATGAAAACAAAATATTTTGGTTTGTCACTGTTTTTAAATGAAAGGATTATGGCTCCTTTTTAATATGTCTAAAGCCATGTATGGATTTTCAGAATTTACATCATATTTGCAGTTAAGTACAGAAATCAAATATGTTCTAATCATGTCTCTATAACCAGGACAAGCTGATCCCCTGTGCACTGTCAACTCCACTCTTCTAAAACGTCTTGGAACTGCTCTCAAGATGGACCAAGAACAGCCAATACAATGGAGCAACCATTTCCTTAAAATATTTAAAGTGAAACACTTCTTTAAATTAAAAAAATAAGTATAACTTCTATACCATGTTTTAATTTATCATATTGGCAACTATTATAAGCTTGGTAATTCCCTTTGTTGAAGAAGATATAAGGAAATAGTATCTTCTCCTACACTGTTAGCAGGAGTAAAGAGTGGTAAAATGTCACACAATGTTTGCCTCATGTTTATCCCAGGCACCGAAGCTCTTATAATGCATGCGTGTGTGTGTGTGTGTGTGTGTGTGTGTGTGTGTGTGTGTGTAACACAGAGAAAGAGAGATTCCTAGCACTGATACATTATCATTTTGAAATATCCATTCCTTTTAAACTGGCAAGTGTCTCTTGCAGATAGATCTTTGGGTATTTAAATAAAAAATAATGTTACAGTTCCATAGAATTAGGTGCTTAAAATCATAGATCATCAGATTTATTTGTCCCATCATTTACAATCCCAAAGCTCTTTACCCATCTCTGGAATATAACATTACAGCCATTGCCACTCCTCCCCTGTCAGGCTTTCTTGTCACCCACACATCCCCTTGACTCTCTTCCGCATTTCATGCAGATCTCTGCTCAGAGTCACTGACTCAGAAAGACATGCCCTGGTCAGCCTGCCTAAAATGACACCCACACCCTGTCACTCTCTATCCCTTACCTTGCTTATTTTTCTCCGTAAGAAAACTACACGGCCCAAAAACTGTATATTTCTTGTTTATTGTTCAGTTCCCCCTACTAGAAAGCCTTTGCTTCGGGAGATGAGGGACTTCGCCTTGTTCACTGATGTATACCCAGGACCTAGAACAGTGCTTAGAACGTGTTCAATGAATGTTGAATAAACAAATGAATAGGAATAGTGTTGTTGTATAGCTATTTGTTGCTTACTACATATGTAGGCAGCCTCCTCTAGAATGTGAGCTTCTTAAAAATAGAGTGCTTATCTCATTCACTGTTGTATCTTAAAAGTGCCCGGCAGATAGCAACTTATCAATAATCGAATTGAAGCTGAACTCTAAAGTATAGTTCTCTATATGACACTTTCCTCTCTTTTTTAAAGAGAGCCACAGTAATTCATTTTTATAGCATTAAATTTCCATTTAAATGTACCCTCAACAATTTCTCTTAGCTCACCCTTAACTTGTGAGTCCCCAAATGTGTGCCAATTGGCAGGCTTCATTGAAATAATAGACCTTCTTATTGAAATGGACCTTCTTATAGGTGTATAGTGGTTAGAGTGATATTTCCGATTCCTTTGTAGCTGCATCTTAAAGTATCCAAGTCAGAGGAAGAGAAGAAGGGGGAAGAGCCTCGGGAAAAGGATAGAGGCCTAGAGCACATCAAAGGTGAAGAAAGCAACTGCTTACTCTTCAGGGCATGAACAGCGGAGATACACTTGCTCTGGATAACCAAAAAAGTGTAGAAGACAATGATGGTTTAATTGAAGTTCCGCTTTGTTCCACTCCTAGGTATATACCCAAAAGAACTGAAAAGCAGGGACTCAAACAGACATTTGTACACCAATGTTCATAGCAATGTTATTCGCAATAGCCACAAGGTAACAATAACCCAAATGTCCATCCATGGATGAATAAATAAACAAAAGGTGGTATGTACATACAATGGAATATTATTTTTAAAGGAATGAAATTCTCACACATGCTACAACATGGATGAATCTTGAAAACATTATGCTAATTAAAATAAGCCAGGCATAAAAGAGCAAACATTGTATTATTCCACTTATATGAGGTACCTAAGAATAAACCAAGAATAGAGGTTACCAGGAGCTGGAGCCAGAGGGGAATGGGAAGTAATTGTTTACTGAGTATAGAGTTTCAGACTGGGATGTTGAAAAAATTCTGGAGATGGATAGTGGTGATCGTTACATAGCATCATGAACTATATACAGTAGGTTTCTTTCTATTGGTCAATGTAAACAACTGACCCATTGCTGGTGGTGCCATTTCCTGTGTGGAACTTTCCATCGCGATGAAAAGATTCACAGTTGTGCTTCAGTTATTACTCAACTCACAAAAAGAAAATCAGAATGCAAGAAGGAAGATATTTCTTTAGAATCTAAGCCCTGGATAGGGATGCAGACTTAAGGATAGAGGAGTTTTCTACTCTACTATTAAAATGTCAGGAATTAAAAATAAACTAAAAATAATATAAATCCACTACTACATTAAAAATAAACTAGTATGGTTTTAAAAGAGATACTCAAATTTCTGGGTGTTAAAAGTCACCTCTGGGAACCAGCTCCTCTCAGCAATTTGGACTTTCACCTCGATGGTTATTCCTGAATATTCCTTTCAATGCAGACATTCAGACACAAAGCAGAACAGTGGGACTTAGACAGTTTGTTGTTATCCAAGCCCACTCACCCAAGCCACGTGATTTGCATTTAACTGGCCCTTTCAAATCCATGCTGAACCATGTGTTCCAGAACTGGATGACCCAGCTCTAATCAGATACCCTAAACCCAAGCCAGACCATTGACACACCTAGTTGTAAAAGTCATTCTAACAGTTCATTTCCAAATGACAAATGTTCTGTGGCCAAACTGGAGCCTGTTGGCACCAGTGAGAGGAACACTCCCCAAAATGATGTATCTCTTGCTAACATGAAAGCACACTGTCTTCTTTGCACATAATAAGTACCCAGGAGGTATTTTGGGGCTCCACTTTTCCACAGATTGACATCATATGAAGTCCTTACAACAATAAATGGCATTTAGCAGAATGGAGTCCATCTGGAAGGGACCCCATCTGGATCAGTTTCAAGGTTCTGGTGGTTTTCATCATCTCAGGATCTTCAAGACACAGGAGCAGCTGGATACTCAGGATTTTTTAACATTCACTCCAGCTCCACTTTCTCCTTAGCAGGCTGTCATCCCAGCAAGAAGGAACAGGGCCACATGGCTTTAAAGAAGCTTTTCCCTTCTTTACAATTTCAGCCTGCCCTGCACATCTATAAATGAAAACTCCTTACCCCTTACATGTCATTTGGAAAGTGTAGGGTCCAACATCAAAGTTCAGGCTCCTAACCAGGACTATCTCTAGGACATGTCACACATTCATCACTATTTTTCGAGCCTCAATTCTGTATCTATCCCCCTGCAAGGCATTGGGGAGCCCAAATAACTAACACCTGGTCTCTGTCCTAGCAAAAACCTTTCTAGTATGAAGAGAAATGAATTATCAATAAGTCACTGTGATACAATATGATAGGACCTCTAATAGAGGTATCCCCTGTCCCAATTAGCTTTGAAACTACAGAAAAAGGAGTACTTATTTCTATGTGATTGTGGAGGTATCAACAGAAAACCTCAAGATAACATGTAAAGCTGGATGTTCAGAGATGAGTAAGGAGGATCTTGTTAGTTCCATAAGCTAAGAGTCCAAGAGAAAAAAATGTCACTGACAGTTTTTACCTCCTCTCCTTGGCTACTATTCCATCCAACCTCAGAGAATAGCAGCACCCCTTTCTATCACTTGGGTTTTCATTTGAAATGGCTAGTGTGAGTCACAAACACACATCCTGCAGCATTCATGAATGAGGAGGACAGAAGGGAGCTCATCATCACTTTAGTACATCAGTGAAGGTAATTACTAGTTCCTGGTGACTCAGAGACCAAGCAACGGTTAGACAGAAATTGAGTGCTTGGGCACCGCACCTCTGAGGAAAGCAACTTGAATGCACTCTTTCCTGCATATGGTGCTACGGCTTTGCTGCAGTGTAAGTTGTAAGGAAATCCACCAGCTGAAAGACTGCACTGGGGTGTGGTGCAGGAGGTGAGAGCACAAGGTAACACGAGGGAGGCAAAGCTGTTCGAGGTGGCTCCAGGCACATCCTGCCTTCTAGAGTTATCTCATAGCTAATGGAGGGAAACAGGCCCCACTTAAGGCTTTCTCTGGGAAAATATGAATTCCAGATGAACAACGACAAGGTGTGCATCTCTGTAGTTCTGGACACATCCCCACTAATGAGCTTGCTTTAGGTGAAATGCACTTCAATCTCAAGGCCTGGGACTTATGGTGGCTGAGATGATGAAGTCACTTCCTGTGCATTGCCATGTTCCTGTGCATCCTTGCATAAGGAGGGTGTTTTTAGATCTTTCTTTACTGGGAATCCTGTGCTTCAACTTGTTTCCAGGTCTCTGTCTGGGAAAAGGGCATAACTATCTTCCCAGGGAGAAAAAAAG